CCTTCAATCTCTTCCTGTCTCCATCCCTCCCACATGTTCACAGATGAAATCTTCTTCTTTTCTGATTTAAGAAAACAATATAATGACCAGCATGGCAAACAAGGCAAAACCTTGTGTCTATTAACAATAGAAAAATCAGACCGGGTGCGGTGGCTCACGCCTGTAATCCCAGCACTTTGGGAGGCCGAGGCAGGTGGATCACCTGAGGTCAGGAGTTCGAGACCAGCTGGCAAACATGGCGTGAAACCCCGTCTCTTACTAAAAATACCAAAATTAGCTGGCGTGGTGGTGGGTGCCTGTAATCCAGCAACTTGGGAGGCTGAGACAGGAGAACCACTTGACCCAGGGAGACAGAGTTTGCGTCAGCAGAGATCGTACCACTGCACTCCAGTTCTGGGTGACAGGTGAGAGTTCACCTCAAAAAAACAAAAAAAAGAAGAAAAGAAAGAAGAAAAGAAAAATAGAAAACAATATAATAGCAAAATTAGTGCAGAGGCTGGTTTTCTTTTTTTTTTTTTTGAGACTGAGTTTCCCTCTTGTTGCCCAGGCTGGAGTGCTGTGGCTCAATCTTGGCTCACTGCAACCTCTGCCTCCCAGGTTCAAGTGATTCTCCTGCCTCAGCCTCCCAAATAGCTGGGATTACAGGCCTGTGCCACCACATCCAGCTAATTTTTTTTTAATTTTTAGTAGAAACAGGGTTTCACCATGTTGATCAGGCTGGTCTCGAACTCCTGACCTTAGGTGATCCATCCACCTCGGCTTCCCAAAATGCTGGGATTACAAGCATGAGCCACTACGCCTGGCCTGGTTGGTCTTTCTGAATCATGACTTTAAATATGTCATTTCCTTGTTCAATAAAACCTTGAGGCCAGGCACAGTGGCTTACTCCTATAATCCCAGCCATTGGGAGGGCGAGGTAAAAGGATCAGTTGAGCCCAGGAGTTCGAGACCAGCCTGGGCAACATAGTGAGATCCCGTCTCTACCAAAAATAAAATTAACCAGGCATGGTGGTGCAGGCCTGTAGTCCCAGCTACTTGGGAGGGTGAGATGGGAGGATTGCTTGAGCCTGGGAGGTTGAGGCTGAAGTGAGCCATGATCATGCCACTGAATTCCAGCCTGGGCGATAGAGTGAGATTCTGTATCAAAAATTAAATAAATAATAAAATAAAATAAAGCTTGAAACTCCCCATTACTACCCCGCCTTGTACAAACAGAATAAAGCCTATCATAGGGCTGGAGATTTGAGGATGTTACCCCAATAAGTCCCCCAGCTCCCCTGGGGAGCCCCTTACTGTTTCTGATTCCCCTGAGGCACTCTTCCCCCAGCCCTCAGCCACCCCAGAACTGCCCGTCCCCTCTTGCCCTGGGGTGAGTCTGAAGGGACCTCATCCTTAAAGAATGGCTTCTACCAAATGTGTCAACAGGGACAGAGATGACAGACATGACACATGAATGAACAAATGAGTAACTGTGGAACTGAGCTGCCTTATGTGGTGGAAATTACTTCATTAAACAATACTTGTGGAACACTTAAGGCTAACACTAATAGCTAACACCAAGAGCTTACTGTGTGCTTATGGTCATCAAACATGCATAGAGCATGTGTTAGATGCCTGGCTCTGTTCTAAGTGCCTTGAAAATCCTACCTCTCGTCATTCTCACCACTCTCACAACTCATCTCTCACAATCTCTCATACAGCTTTTAGATAGAGGAGCTGGGATCTAGAGCACAGCGGCTTGACTCTGTAGCCTGGGCTTTCAACTACCACACCTAACCATTACCAGATCCCAGAGGAATGTTACACGAATGTTTAATATTTGAGTAATGTTGGCTGGGCACGGTGGCTCAGGCCTATAATCCCAGCACTTTGGGAGGCTGAGGCGGGCAGATCACCTGAGTTCAGGAGTTCAAGACCAGACTGGCCAACGTGGTGAAACTCTGTCTCTACCAAAAATACAAAAAGTAGCCAGGAGTGGTGGCGTGCGCCTGTAGTCCCAGCTACTCAGGAAGCTGAGGCAGGAGAATCGCTTGAACCTGGGAGGCAGAGGTTGCAGTGAGCTGAGATTGTGCCACTGCACTCCAGCCAGGGCAACAAGAGCAAAACTACACCTCAAAACAAAATTTTTTTTTTAGTAATGTCCAAAGACCACCTCATGGGAACATATACCCTAGTTACTTGGGAGGCTGAGGCAGGAAGATGCTTGAGCCCAGAAATTCAGACTGTAATAAATCATGATCATACCACTGCACTCCAGCTTAGGCAACAGAGAGAGACCCTATCTCCAAAAAAAAAGTTGGGGGGACATATAAGCAATGTCAAGGTAATGGAGTCCAACATCTGAGAAACATCATAGCACTGACAATGTCAACATGTCTGAGGAATATAAGGATTTTGTATAATGCTGTACTTTACTCAACCAAATACTTATCAACCCACTACATCCATGTCAGGCACTATTTTAATCCACAGGTGTAGGGCAATGACACAACACCCCAAAACTCCTCCTCTTCTGTAGCTGACATTCTCATGGGAGAGAGAGAGAGAACTAAACAAACAAACCAACAAACAAAAAACATGTCAGAGGTGACAATTGACACAGAAAACATAAAGCTTAATCAGAAAAAAGGGACTGTCCAATGTACTGGATGGGGGTACATGGGTGGCATTCCTACTTTGTTAAAGATCAGGAAGACCACCCCTGAGACAATGTCTGAGCAGAGTAGTGAAGTTAGTGAGGGAGGGAACCATGCAGTGATCTGCAGAATTTCCAAACAAGACACAGCCAGTGCAAAGGCCCTCAGCTAGGGGCATGCTTAGCCCCGTCTAAGGAATGGCCGAGAGGCCTGTGTGGCTGGAGCAGAGTGAATGCAAGAGAAGGAGGAATAGGAGGGATTCACAAACATGAAAGTGCTGAGGCTGATGAAAGTCAGGCTCTGCATAGTGCCACGTCTGGGAAATATTAATAACTACAACTGATGGAGTGCATTCCACACACCTGGCACTATATTCAGTCCAACTCACACCAAAACTGCTACAGGAGCTTAGAGTGTAACAGGGAGTCAGTCAAAGAAACTTCACAGCACCACGTGACAGGCTAGGGAACTAAGAAGAGGAGCATCTAACTCCAACATGGGGAAGGAGGCTTCCTGGAGGAGGTGGCATTCAAGCTGTCAAGCAGGAGAAGGAAAACACTTCCAGGATGCAGATGCAGAGAGGGAGGGAAGGCCAGAACCTGGACCAGCTGGCCAGAGCTCCAGGAGCAGTGCTGGGGACCAGGGCATAGCTTGCTGGAAGAAGAGCTCAGGTTTGCAGAGTTGAGAGAGCCTCTGGACACGGAGGCCCAGGCTTAAGTGTGTTTGTACAAAATTGGTGGTTATGGAGTGGGGGACAAAGGGCAAAAAGGGATGGGATAAAGACTTTGATAATTAGGCCAGGCGTAGTAGTTCACGTCTGTAATCCCAGCCCTTTGGGAGGCTGAGGTGGGCGGATCACTTGAGGTCAGGAGTTGGAGACCAGCCTGGTCCAGTGCATTTCACATGGTAAAACCCTGTCTCTACTAAAAATACAAAAATTAGCCGGGCGTGGTGGTGCATGCCTGTAATCCCAGCTACGGAGGCTGAGGCAGGAGAATCACTTGAACCCGGAAGACAGAGGTTGTAGTGAGCCAAGATTGTGCCGCTGCACTCCAGCCTGAGCAACAGAGCAAGACTCTGTCTCAAAAAAAAAAAAAAAAAAAAAAAAAAAAAAGGCTTATAATTTGTCTGCCCACCGGGCCCTGCTTTCTCAAAGTCTTTAGGTGGGTCCCTGGGCAGTGAGAGGGAAGCAGAAGGTAAGTGGCCACCCCCACCTGTCCCAGGTCTTAGTTCCTCATCCCATCATAGCAGGTTCAGATCCTTCTTTTAGGCAGATCTGTGGGTCCTCGCTCTGGGGCAACCCAAGACATTCTGGCAGGAGACTCCTCAGTTAATAATACCTCATATGCTTCCAGCACTTCGTGGTCTTTTATGTGCTTTTACTGCCATAACCTGTGCGTCTGACAGTCAGTCTAGGATGGACAGAGCTATTCTAAGCCTTTTTCAGGAGATGCTGCAGCTCAGAGAGGTTAAGGGCCTTGCCAAGGCCACGTGGCCAGTGGGCGACTAAACTGGGACTTGATCCCAGCTCTTGAGATTGCAAACCCCACAGTGACACTGCGGCAGCTACAGAAAACGGGGCCTAATGATGGCTGGGTCACAAGGACACGTCTGGGGAAGCGAGGAGAATGAGCTCTGGCATGAGAGGAATGGAACGTGGGGAAGATGGAGTCGGGGTGATGGAAGCTAAGCGTGGAGGCAGGAAGAGAGCTCTGGCAGGGGTTGTAGAGGCTTTGAGACAGAACTAGCGGTGTCTCCAGAAAGACCCCATGAAATGTCCCAGCAGGGTTGAAGGAAACAGAAGAGGTGTCCTCCCACCCCATGTTTCTGTGAACCAAGGCAGGGAGGGACCTACTGTGTGCATTTCACAGGCGAGAAAAAGGAGCAAGGAGAGGTGGCTATTGGCTTGCCCCAGACCCACAGAAGCGCAGGGCCCAGGGGCCCTGTTAGCAGCGGGTAGCACAAGCGAGACTTCCAGACCTTCCCCTCCACCGCGGATGATGAAATAGATGATGAGAGGAGAGGTGGAGATGGAGACAGAAATCAGGGCCGCATCCAAAGAGGGAGGGCGAAAAGGCAGAGGCGCAGCTGGAGCTGCAGAGAGGTGCAGATACGGTGGAGAGATGAGGCCCTGACGCCTGGCTCTGGTTTCACGCGGGCAGTGTCAGCTGGTCGGTGTCACGGAGTTCCCGCGTCCCCCGCCCGCTCAGCCCCCGCGGATCCATCCACTGAGGTTGCTCCGCAGCGCGACGCTCTCTTATCCCGGGGGAGGGCTAAGGGCGGCGGTGGGGGGCGCAGTGGGGAGAGCGGCGGGAGGGGGCGGTGCACGATCGCCGCCTCCAGGGCCCGCAAATCCGCAGCGTCCTCCGCAGCATCTTCCCAGGCCCGGCCCCCTCCTCCCCCCGCGCCGATGGTACGCGCCGGCCCGGCCCGGCTGCAGTGGATGTTGCTAGAACCCACGCGGAGGAAGGAAGAGACGCAGGCAGGCTGCGGCTACCCAAGCGGCCGCCCCGGCCTCAGAGACCCCTTCCCCGAGAGACGGCACCATGACCCAGGGAAAGGTACCGTCATCTCCCCCGCCTGCACCATCCTCCATCCTCCGGCTCCCGGATCCCTGTCATCCTCAGCAAACCCTCTGGACCACGAAAGCGTCCTCCCCTGGCCCTAGGTTGAAGGTCCTCAGTGGTCCTTGCTGAAGTCAGAGGACCGAAAGGCCGGTGTCAAGGAATGGACCGGGCCTCTTCCAGCCCGCAGGCGCGCCTCTCCTCCCCTGTCTCCCTCCCACCCCTGCTTTGGCATCACAAGGCTTCTCCCGGATACCCAGGCCCCCTGTGAGGAGTCAGCCCGGGCGTCCGGTGTGACTGTATGTGTGTACATGGGTATGTGTGTGCCAGGATGAGTCCTGAGGGGCAGTGCCTATAGGGCAACCCCCTCTGGCCCAGCCCTCCAATCCCAGACCCAACCACTTTATGCTTATCTTTTCCACCCTCCACAGAAACAACCCCCACCCCGCTCCCTGCCATTATTCCACATCTGGGCATCTTGGCTCCATCCCTGTGCTTGGGGCTTGCTATGACAACCCTGCATCGGGATGCTGTAATTGTTTTGGTTCTGGCCAGGCATGGATGGGTCCGGATGCACTGAGTCCCAAACGATAGGCATGAGTTAGCCTGGTGAAAAGGCAAGGAAATGAGTGTTTAAGGCTGAAAGAATAGAATGTACAGGGGCCCACAACCATGCTAGAGTAAATGGAGGGGACAGATGAGGGAGAAAAGCTAAGGGCTAGTGAAGAAAGACCTCCTAGAGGTTGCTAAGGATTGGGCAGAGAAAACAGGGCAAGGACCTACCCTACACTCCCCCTTCTTCTCTTTGAGAGGAGCTTCAGAGCCAATGGCATCCTTCCCTGGACCCTCAGACCCTCCTCTCCCTGTGTGCAAGCTCTTTGGGCCTCAAATGATGTCATTGGATGATACCACCTCCTGCCATTGATCACACCTCACTTGGGAGTGCCGTATGTGTGTAGGGGGCGCTGGGCATTAGGGTTCAGGAGGCTCTGAGGGGCGGAGTGGCAGGGTGGGGGCTGAACTCGATTTTGGTGGGCATGATCCTTCAGATCCGGGTGATGACGGGGGCTGGGGAGTGGGAGGGAGTGGGAGGCCTGGGGAGTGTTCAGTTTGGTAAACATGGAGAGCACCATCCTCCATCCTCCGGCTCCCGGATCCCTGTCATCCTCAGCAAACCCTCTGGACCACGAAAGCGTCCTCCCCTGGCCCTAGGTTGAAGGTCCTCAGTGGTCCTTGCTGAAGTCAGAGGACCGAAAGGCCGGTGTCAAGGAATGGACCGGGCCTCTTCCAGCCCGCAGGCGCGCCTCTCCTCCCCTGTCTCCCTCCCACCCCTGCTTTGGCATCACAAGGCTTCTCCCGGATACCCAGGCCCCCTGTGAGGAGTCAGCCCGGGCGTCCGGTGTGACTGTATGTGTGTACATGGGTATGTGTGTGCCAGGATGAGTCCTGAGGGGCAGTGCCTATAGGGCAACCCCCTCTGGCCCAGCCCTCCAATCCCAGACCCAACCACTTTATGCTTATCTTTTCCACCCTCCACAGAAACAACCCCCACCCCGCTCCCTGCCATTATTCCACATCTGGGCATCTTGGCTCCATCCCTGTGCTTGGGGCTTGCTATGACAACCCTGCATCGGGATGCTGTAATTGTTTTGGTTCTGGCCAGGCATGGATGGGTCCGGATGAAGCATCTCTTCTTCTCTAGTTTTAGGCCTGAATTGTAGGGGAGGGGCTGGGGCAGAGACTTGGCTGGCCTAGTAGGCTTATGTAACATCAATAGCCTGTGGAATTATACAACCACTAGGGCCTGGGGCTAAGGGGGAGGGTCCTCTGGCCCTCTATTTGGGTTGCTAAGGATTGGGCAGAGAAAACAGGGCAAGGACCTACCCTACACTCCCCCTTCTTCTCTTTGAGAGGAGCTTCAGAGCCAATGGCATCCTTCCCTGGACCCTCAGACCCTCCTCTCCCTGTGTGCAAGCTCTTTGGGCCTCAAATGATGTCATTGGATGATACCACCTCCTGCCATTGATCACACCTCACTTGGGAGTGCCGTATGTGTGTAGGGGGCGCTGGGCATTAGGGTTCAGGAGGCTCTGAGGGGCGGAGTGGCAGGGGGGGGGCTGAACTCGATTTTGGTGGGCATGATCCTTCAGATCCGGGTGATGACGGGGGCTGGGGAGTGGGAGGGAGTGGGAGGCCTGGGGAGTGTTCAGTTTGGTAAACATGGAGAACCCACCCCTTCTGCTGAATCTCCTTCCACCCCCACCCCCCCTCCACCAGGCCCTTTAGTGGCGCTGTTCCCTTCCTGGCGTGAGGGGGACCTCTGCCTCCTCTGCCCCTTGTCCCCAGCTCACTCACAGGCTTGCTGGGTGACGGAGGAGACCGCTCCAGTTCCGTGGTCCTTGGGCCTGGATGGAACCAGAAGTCTTGTGGCGTGCCCATCACCAGGCTGCCTCAGCCAGACGCCCCTGCAAAGAAGGAAGTCCACAGTCTTCCTCAGTGGCCCTTTGGGTCTAACACAATCTTCTGGGAACCACACCTAAATCCCATTTTCTGAGAACCGGACCTTTTGTTGCTGTTTCAATTTCACACCACCCCCTCCACCCCAATCTTCTCTGGCTGCCTCATTCACTTCCCAGCTCAAATCCTCCCACCAAAGCTAAACATGTCCACGGGTGGGGGGGCAGGGGACACATCTGAGTGTAAATGGACTCGCGTTTCCAAACTGCCATGGGGACATTTCCCTTTGAGCCTCAGTTTCCTCATCTGTTCAGTGAAGGAAGAGACTCAACTGGATGTCTTCTGAGGCCCCTTCCACTGGGTCACTCTGTGAGTCTGTTCTGGTTTAGGGGAGAGGCTGAGATTCCTACAGGATGAGGCCAGAACAGACCTTTAGCCAGGATCCTCTTGCCCTTCCTCCATCCTGAAGGCCCTTCCTCTTTTCTGTTTTCTCCCTCTCCTCTTCCCTTTCTGTTGCCCTTCTCTCCCTAATCTCCATCCTCCTTGCATCACTTCCAGCCCAACAGAAGGAGACCAATCCCAGTGGATGGTGCCTAGGCCCTGCCTCTCAGTGGGCCCACATGCAGCTCTGTGACCTTGGATGAATAGCTCTTCCTCTCTGATCCTCATTCTCATTTTAAAGCAGGGGTCAAAATACAACTAGCAAGTCTCAGGAAGATTAAATGACAGGACCTTTTATTTGTAACAGTCTACTACGTGCCAGGCCCTTTTCTGGAACCATAGAGGCCCTGCCCCTACCCCAGGGACAGTGACAGTGACAACCAGTGGTGGGCACTCCTAAGAATTTTCTTTTTCCTCTGTTCCTACCCCAGCTCCACCGTGTGCCCCAGCTAGCTCTGACCCCTCTGGAGCTTAGTTCTCTTGTCTATAAAATAGAGACATTCTTGTCTGCACTCCTGGCTTCCGAGTGCAGATAAGGAAGGACCCATGAAAGTTTCAGGAATTGAGGAGTTGGTGAGGAGGATTTGGAAGGCTCCCTTTCCCTGGCGACTGTCTTTCCCTCTGCCTCTACTCCACAGCTCTCCGTGGCTAACAAGGCCCCTGGGACCGAGGGGCAGCAGCAGGTGCACGAGAAGAAGGAGACTCCAGCAGTGCCCTCAGCCCCACCCTCCTATGAGGAAGCCACATCTGGGGACGGGATGAAGGCAGGGGTCTTCTCCCCAGCCCCCACGGCGGTGCCTCTCCACCCAAGCTGGGCTTATGTGGACCCCAGTAAGTCTTTCAGCTCCTGAAAACTGGAGCATCATGGGGTGGGGGTCGACCCGGAGGGAAAACCTGAGTAGGAGGAAGTTGTCCAGAAAGAGGTACACTGTGTGGTTGTATGAAGCTATCTTGTTAGATGCTTAGGATTTGGAGAACTGTTCTGAGGGGAGGTCAGAGACAACTCCATGAAAACGGAAAGAGACACAATGTCTGCATCAGGGTGCTCTCAATAGGGAAGAGGGCGTTTTTTTTTTTCAAGTCACCATGCTAGAGTAAATGGAGGGGACAGATGAGGGAGAAAAGCTAAGGGCTAGTGAAGAAAGACCTCCTAGAAGAAAGAGATACAGAGAAGGAGGGGGCGTATGAAACTGCCACTGGCCACAGCCTTCACTGGGCCTGGCTCAGTGGGGACAGGTCCCCATGGAGGCCCAGGGCTGTTGGGGGATAGGGGTCTGGGAATCCACCTCACCAATCACTCTCCTCATCTGTGTTCCCTTCCCCAGGCCCGTGCTGGGGCAGGGGGGCATGACACGGCGAGGGAGTGTGGTTGCCAGCGTCAGTGTCCCCCACAGCCAGGCACACTCACCCAGGTGGATGCCAGATTCCTGCAGACCGAGAATCTCAGTGGGTAGGAGCTGCTCTATTGGGTCAAGCAGCCTGTGGGAGCTTTACCTTGGGGCCAGGAACGTACAGCTTCCCAAAAGCTCTGAGGAAATCCTCCTCAGCCCCTTCGGCTGCCCTCAGCAGCCCCTCCCCCTCCCCCACTTTATCACCCCACCCCCAGCAGGATTCTAGAAGAGATCCCAGAAACAATGCCCCAGACAGAGCCTCTGCTCACAGGGAGTAGCCACCATGGTCTACACCTCCCACTACAAACCCCCTGGGCGCAGACCCCTGAAGACTCACCCCACCGTGACCTACTGGAGGGTCAATGAAGGTCTGGTGTTTGTGGGCGTCCTCCTCCCCTCCCTACACACCCACTGGCCCACTTTCCCTCTCTTTTTCCCTTCTCTCTGTGGCCTGGCCACGTGGGCTTTGGCAGAGGATGTAGACAGGACACAAGGGAGAAGTGAAGGTCAAGAGGGCAAGGGTCTCCGGTCCTTAAGTTTGCAGTGGGTCTACCTCTCTCCCCCTTCCTCATTTCCCATATCCTGGCTGCTAGGACTGCTGCTTTAAGGTATGTTTTCTAAGGAACTGTCGAGGCAGGAAGGCAGCTGTGACAGACATTTACTAAGTGTGTGCCAGGGCACAGGGTCTGCGTCTGGGTTTGTTTCGGAGGATGCACTGATTTGCAAGACCTGCTGGGATCTCTGTCCTCGGAGAGCTGACTGTATAGACAAGTGATTGGACAACTACCACACAGTGACACAAACACAGTGACAGGTGCCTGGGCACCTTACCTAACCCACCTGACAGTCAGGGAAGGCTTCCTGGAAGGAGGGGTATCCACACTGAGTCCCAAACGATAGGCATGAGTTAGCCTGGTGAAAAGGCAAGGAAATGAGTGTTTAAGGCTGAAAGAATAGAATGTGCAGGGGCCCACAGGCAAGAGAATACGTGGTGGAAAATATATACTCAGGTTGAGAACAGGGTCGGGGGGAGGAATGTGTAGTGGAGCTGGAGGGCGCTGCTCAGGGAGGCCGTGGAGACTTTCTTAAGAAACTTGAACTTGAGTGAAGGGCAGTGGGGAGCCATTGAAGAGCTGAAAGCAGGGCAATGCCGTGGTCAACTTTGAAAGACCAAGTCAGAGGCTACTGCTGGGGGCAAAGGAGATCATGGACACCTAGTGGTGACAGTGGAGGGACAGAATGAACACATTGGAGGACTTGGAAATGGCCATGATGAGGGACACAAGGAGGGGGGCAGTGTAGTTCCCACCAGAGAGCAAAGGCTTTCATTTCACAGACCTGGAGGTTTTCATGTTTATCTCATTTGGGCCCCAGGAGGTGGGTATTACTAACCAGTATCAGAAGAGGCTCAGGGAAGGCCAGTAACTTTATCAGGGTCACACATCTAGTACGTTCTAGGCGAGGGATCCACCCCTGGGTCTGTTTGACTGTGGAGTCCATGCTCTTCCGAAAGCCTCAGTTCTGGGACTAGGCCTGGAATGGTCTTCCTCACTCCCACTTCTTGCCCGTGTCCTGGCTTTATTTCCCCTCCATCCCCTCACCCCGCTGAAGCCCTGATTTCCAGCTGGAGCACCAGCAGTCCACCACAGCCAACCAGTCCCCAGCTCCCAGCCCAAGGGCCTCAGCACAAGCCAGAGTCAGAGCTGGGCACGGTGGCTCATACCTGTAATCCCAGCACTTTTGGAGGCCAAGGCAGGTGGATTGCTTGAGCCCAGGAGTTCGAGACCAGCCTGGGCAACATAGTGAAACCCCATCCCTACTAAAAATATGAAAAATTAGCCAAGCATGGTGGTGTGCACCTGTAGTCCCAGCTACTCGGGAGGCTGAGGTGGGAGGATTGCCTGAGCCAGGGGAAGTCTAGGCTGCAGTGAGCCGTTTCATGCCACTGCACTCTAGCCTGAGTGACAGGAGTGAGACCCAATCTCAAAAAAACAAAACAAAACAAAACAGAAACAAAAAGAATGAGCCAGGGTCAGGATCTTCGCTGCTGGGTGGCCCAGAGAGAGTGGCTGGCCCTCTGTGATCCTTGACTGCAAGGGAGCCAGAATGTCCAAGGAGGAGGGTGGGGGGAAGAAGATGGGAGGTTCACATTCGTATGGCATAGCTTGGTCCCTGGGGAGCCCCAGCCGGGGTGGAGGGAGAAGTAGGGGATGACAGTTTCTTCCCAGGACTCAGAGCAGGAAAAGGGAGAATTGACCAGGGAGAGAGATCTGGGGGTTGGGGTGGGGCCGGGCTGGGCCAAGGCTGGGTGTTTGATAATGGGGATGCAGAGAAAGACTTCAGGGTCCAGAGAGCCAGGCTGACAAAGAGGCAGCTTTGAGATGGGGGCTGTTGGGGACAGTAATTCCATGTAGGGGGAACCCTCATGTCCTCCTCCTCCACATGCCACACAGGCAGCAGCTCCAGCTATGACAGCGGTTTCCCCACCGGAGACCATGAGCTCTTCACCACTTTCAGCTGGGACGACCAAAAAGTTCGTCGAGTCTTCATCAGAAAGGTAATGCCCCTCTCTAGCCCTCTGGGACTGGGAAGCTCAGTGGGGGAGCCCCTGTAGAGGCCCCTGGCCCAACCCTCTGCCTGCAGAAGCCATCCCTACCCACTTTTCTTGTGATCCCAGCTGACAGCACCCACTAGGAATTGCTTCCTTAGGTGTCACTCCAGTGCCCCCTGCTACACCTTAACACACTGTCCCCTCTTTTCTCCCAATGCTAGGGGGTGCACTTGGCTCTACAGCATCTTTGCTTTCCTTTCACCTTGTCCTGGGTTCACTCCAATGACCCCCAAGAAGGAGGGTGGAGTGCACAGGATGGGGACCTGGAGAGGTGAACGAGTCGCTGAGGGGCTGACAGGTCCCTAACAGGGCTCCCCAAGCTGAGTAGAACCTCCTCCCACCCCCAGGTCTACACCATCCTGCTGATTCAGCTGCTGGTGACCTTGGCTGTCGTGGCTCTCTTTACTTTCTGGTGAGTTGGCAGCATGGACCAGCACCTTCCACGGGTGGCTATGGCCAGGCCTGGAGCTGGGGAACCCATGATCAGACTCCTGCTGGAATGCTGCCTGGAGAGATGCCTGTGGGGCAGTGGGCCTCCTCCTGCTGGGACAGAGCCTTAGAGAGTGCACCAGGGGTCTCTAAGGCGAGGGGTCGTCTGTCCAGCGTGGGGTGGACCCGGGGTGCCTTCTGGGTGTCTGTGTGGCAGTCCTTCTGATCCGAACCACTAACTGCATGCCCAGGCACTTGCAGGTCCCAGCTAGGGACTATGGGCTGGGACTCCCCGAGCCTCCAGGGGCTGCATTCCTTCGGCTTCCTTTCAAGTCCTGTGAACTGTGTGGGACAGATGCAGATGTTGAACCAGAAATGGAGACCTAGGGTACATTCTGACTCTCTCTCCCCCTCTCTCTTCTCTGCAGTGACCCTGTCAAAGACTATGTCCAGGTCAACCCAGCCTGGTACTGGGCATCCTAGTGAGTATATCCCAGTCCCCTTCCAGAGAAGGCTTAGTGGCCAGAAGAGGGAATCTCTGTGTCTTTCTTGACCTAATCTGAGCCCATAGCTTCCCCCAGCCCCATAGGGACTGTTCTCACAGATCCCTTCCAGCCCTGCCCCATTCTGCCGGCTTCAGAGCATGGCCAGAAGGACCTATCTGGGTCCTATCATGGGCACATGTGGTTAACTCTGGCTGGAGGCACAGCAGGGAGATCGGGGGTAGGTTCTGCTGCGCTGCCACAAATTGGGAAGGGTTGGACGCCAGGGCGCTTTTGTCTGGACAGACCCAGACCTATCGGTCCTAAGAGGCCAGTGGAGGCTGGACACTTTGGCCCCAACACTAATGGATAAATGTTCGCTTATGCTTATTAATGTTAGTTAAGTAATCGTTAGGAACTATAATCGATAATTGCTACCACACTTTAAGGAGTGGCTTAATCAAAGGGCTGGGCATTGTTTGCTGTGCTTGATGTACGAGTATTGAGCAATTCGGTCCTTCACATCTGCTGGGATATGACTACTTCAGCAAAAATTAAGGGTTCGAGAGAAATTGAGGAATTATGCCCAAGGTCACACGCTAGTCCGTGGTGTAACTGGCGATTCCAACCCAGATTCCGGTAAGGCTTGTGCTCGTTAATCGGTCTACTTGGCAGGTCTCCCTGGCAGCC